TTTTTTTTTTTTTTTTTTTTGGTACCAGGGATCGAACTCAGGTCCTTGCGCTTGTGCAGCAGGCAGTGAAACCACTGAACTAAATCCCCAGCCCTAGTGGTCTTTTTATTTCCTGTGTGCTGGTGACTGAACCAAGGGCCTAATACATGGTAGTGTTCTACTGCAGACCTATATCCCCAGCCTCTAATACATGAGCTTCCATAATGATCTTGGGCATCCAGGAAGATGTAGTTGACCACATTGATTGTCAGAAGATACAGATCTGTATATTTTTCTTTTTTAAATATTGTGCAATAGTCTTTTGCACACACCCCCCTCCCATACTAGACATTAAACCCACCAGCGCTGTACCACTGGGCTATGTCCTCAGCCCTTTTTATTTCAAGACAGGGTCTTGCTAAGCTGCCTCAAACTTGAGATCCTCCTGCTCAGCCTCCCTAGTAGCTGGTGTACATCGCCACACTCAGCTTGTAGACACACTTAAGTATTTGTTTCCTGACTAATGGACATGGAGTTGGTGTCTAGGATTGGTATTATGAACAATTCTGGACTGAATATCTGTGCATTTTATCTTTTTGTGCTTGTTGGATCATCTAGACATGGGATTAAATGGTTTTCAAGATGTAGTTAAATTTAGATTTCTTACTAAAAACCAAAATTCTTCTCCACTTTGTATTGCTGCATGTGAAATGCTAACAAAAATGCATCAGCATATGCAGCATTTAACAAACATGTCCAGCAGCACTTGAGGTTTGGGACCACTGGTTTGCAAAGGCTGACTTGCTAGTAATTCTCTCAAATATTAAGAAAGCCTTTTCTTACAGACTGAAATTATCAGCCATTTCCTACAACCCTTACACCTGTCGTCTGCAGATTTGGTTTCTCCTGTCTGAGAGCTTCACCTTTGGTTTAGCTAACAGGCTTGGGCCATGGTGGTTTGCTTTCTGCGCTGGGCCAATATTGACCCAGCTTGAAGGTGCTGCAGGAGCTGGTCTCGGAGGAGCTGCCAGCAGCGTGGCCTGCACACAGCTCTGGTCTTCCTGACAGGTGTCTTGTCAGTGCTTTCCAAACTCGTCATTGGGCAGCTTTGAAACAGACCAGGGGCTTCCTAAGATAACACCAGAACCGAGGAGCAAAGGCATTTGAGCTCTATCTCCTCCGTGCTTTGGAGACAGCTTTGCTACAAGACCAGGATTGAGACTGGGGGAGGAAGTGGTACATTTTGGTAAATCTTTAGACCTACGGGACATCATAGCCTTCTCTTTGCAAAGTGAGGGAAGAAGTAACATTTTAAAAAAATGCTCATTATGCCCAGGCACTTAGTTTTGCTGAAGTTTGCGGCAGCCTTAGGAGGTAGGTGGTATTACCATTAACGTATAGCTAGAAAACGGGACTTACCCACCCACTTCACCTGGCCTTTGTGGTAACAACCTGTGCCACACAGCGCCCCTCTGCCCCAGAGGGCTACCGCCTCTGCTGTGGGGTGGGGACGCCAACACTGCTGCAGCACTGCCACTAAATCCACCGGGAAACATGGGAAGGGAGCTATTGTTTGCTGCTTTCCCAGGGGGACCCCAGCCCAGGCCAAAGAGGTATTACAGTTCACAGCAGGCCAGGTTCTGGTGACTGGGAACCTTGTAACCTGTGTTTTTCCTACTGATTAAGATCACATTTTTCATTGCCTTTGATTTTTTTTTTTGTTGTTGTTGTTGTTAAAATCACAGCCAGCAGCCAGGTCTTTTAAAAAAACACAATCTGAGGCTTGGTCCCAAAAGTTCGATATGTTTTGTCCTGTCAGATTATGTTTCCTCTTAGATTTATTTGTAATGTAAACCTCGCCCTGTTTCTGCTGTGGTCTTGGGACTGTGCCCAGCCTCCAGCCTCCCCATCTGGGGCATCAACATCTCTACGGGCGATGAGGAGGGTCACAGACTGAACAAAACCCTATACCAGTCCCCTCCCACTTCACCCCATCCCCAGCGTCTTATTGAAACCAAAGTGAGGTCCAAACTGAGCAAATGTGCCTTTTCCAGAGCCGCAGCCTCGGGCAGATGAAATGCCCAGACACGGGTCTTTTAGGGTTGCCCTAGGAAGAGCTAACAAAAGGGGTGACAGCCCCTAAACAGCTGCTTGGGGAGGAGGACATCTGCCCCTGTCTTGCCAGACACTCAGGGCTCAAGACTCGTCTTGAAAAGAGCATGGGGCCGGGGCTGGGGAGCAATAGTTCCGGGGCTGCCAGTGGTTACATGGCTTTTGTCTTAAGCAAGCCGCCCATGATGGGAGAGCCACAACTCGCAGGAAGCCAGCTGTCAGGGCTGCAGCCCAGGGCCCCGGGTGGGAGGCACGGGGAGAAAAAGACCATCTGGGGCCAAATTCCCTTTTAGACACCTGAGCTGGCTGCCTTTGTAGCGGGAGAGTTTCGAATCTTCTCCCCATCCCACCTTCCCCAGGGACACCGGGCCTCCCCTTCTTGCTCTCCAGCCTTGGAGAGAGGTGGCAGGGACAGCTCAGGATTCTGCCTCCTTGGTCTGCAACCCCCTGGGCGCGGGCTGCGCTGCGGCTGGCGTCGCGCTCTCAGCCCTCACCCGGCGCTCCGCTTTGAAATCCCCCCTCCTTTTTTTTTTTTCAACCAGGTATGATGATGTCAAACGTGATGCCGATGCTACAGTTACAGACACAGCCCCTGCTGGCGCAGCCTCTCTGATTCCCTCTGCCTGTTCGCGTCCGGCACTGAGCATTTGCAGACGAGGGCATCTCCTAACCAGGTCACATCTCAGCCGCGACCCCTCCGCTGGCCACCCGGGCGGGAGCGCAGGAGGAGGCCGGGCGGGGCCGCGGCAGCGCTCTCTGAGCCAGCAGCGGGGCGGCGCGGAGGACGTTGAATCCCGCAGAAGTCAAGACCTCTAGGTCCCACCCTGACCACGATGCGCGCCCCGGCCTCCGGGCTCCTGGCGCTGCCCCTGCTGCTCCTGGCCGCTGCCGCCCTGGCCGAAGGCGACGCCAAAGTGCTCAAGGAGGGCGAGACCCCCGGCAATTTCATGGAGGACGAGCAATGGCTGTCGTCCATCTCGCAGTACAGCGGCAAGATCAAGCACTGGAACCGCTTCCGAGACGTGAGTGCGCGCCGGGCGCCCGGCCCGGGCGTGGAGTGGGAGCGGCGGGTGGGGGACCCCCGCAGCCGGGCTGCGGAGTAAACAACGCCGAGAGTCCCAGTCGGCGCCCCTCCCGTGCC